AAAAGTAAAGTACCTATATTTAACGTCGGTAGTTCCTTCAGTTGAAATTCAACTGCTATCAATGGAAGCCGACGGTGCGCACTTTACTCCCCTCTCTCCATTAGTGCTCTCTAATATTTAAAGCTGAAGCTACACGGATTAGAGAAAAGTCGAAACAGCCGTGGAGATCCTAAAGATCGAACTGTGGACCTCAAGCTCTGAAGGTCGCGCACTAACCAACTGAGCTACGCCTGCTCCTTTAAATATTCGATTTAAATATTGTGATCGAGGAATCAAGAGTTTCAGATTAGTAAAATTGCTCTAGAAATTGAAAATGCATATATATTTACGGCTTACCAATATTTCGTCATAACCAAAGCCCGAAATAAGACGCTTGCTACTGAAGATCTGGAAAAAGCGAGCATCCTTAATGTCCACTTCTCTACTGTTGGTGAGCAATTTGCGAGAGAACTTCCTGCTAGCAGCAGCAAAGTACAAGAGGCTACACCTCACAGTGATCAAGAACTCTGCAAATCTGATATTGTCGTGACAAGTAAAGCTATACACAGCCAGATCTCCAAACTGAAACCAAGCAAAGCCAGTGGTCCAGACAACATCAGCACAAGACTGTTGAAGCTGGMCGATAAAGCTATAGTGCCATCATTGACAGATATATGCTACAAGTGTGCTAGTACTTCAACTCTACCGAAGTCCCGGAAGACTGCAAAGGTCACTCCGATCTTTAAGAAAGACAAGGAAGACGAAAAGTCCAACTATCGTCCAATCTCACTCCTTTGCATTCCAAGCAAGATGATGGAAACCATGGTATCTGATGCTCTGACCCTACATATGACAACCAACAACCTGTTTAGTCCATGTCAATGGGCCTACAAGAAGGGTCTTTCMAGCGAGCTACTTCTTGTAAACATGACGGAAAAATGGCGTTCAGCCCTTGAATCAAACAAAGTAGTGTGTATCGTGTTCTTCGATTTCAAGAAGGCATTCGACTCAATTGATCACGACATACCGTTGAAGAAAATAGTGAACATTGGTGTATCAGATAACATCTATCTGACTCCACGCCCAGACAATTGCAAGTGCGAGTCAATGATTCTGCGAAGATCTAGTTTCATTGGCCCATCACCTGCAGTTAGATTTGGCTCATGTACTATCAAACAGGTGCACCACACAAGATGCTTAGGACTCGAACTGGATGATAAACTATCCTGGCTACAGCATGTCACAAATCTGACCACATTCTTTGTACAGAAGATCAACCTCCTCAAGTCACTAAGATTTCCACCAAAGCACGTCAGACTAGATTTCTACTTCAAGATAATTCTGCCAGCGGTCACGCACGGCCTACTCATCTGGGGTCCTGCAACAAGACGCTTATGGAGAGCCTACAAAAGATCCATTTCCGTGCTGCTCGTATCATCCATGGCTTGCCATGGGATACTCCAAGAACTCAGATCATGGACCAACTGCACTGGAAACCACTGACCCACTTCTTCAACATCAAACTTGGCGTTTTCGTAGACATGTGCCTACACGACGAAAACTCGCACCACGACCTGCAACAACTCTTCACAGGGCGAGACGTT